CCCCACTCCCACCGCCGCCGCCTCACAGGGCCCGGCCCGCGCGTCGCCCCGCAGCTGCCGCGGCCAGCGATCCCGGCGCAGCCGCCATCTTTGTTTTCGCTGCGCGGGGGGGCCCCCCCGCTGCCACCGCCCCCTCCGTCCTCCCGGTCACGTGAACGCGCGCGGGGCCAATGGAAGTGCCAATTGACAAGAAACGACACGGCAGTCAGAGCCAATGGGCGCGAGAGGTCGCGTGAGGGCCCACCCCTGAAGCTGGTGGGCAGGAAGGGGGCGGGCCCGCGGCGGCCGTGGTGGGGCGCGTACCTGGGGCGGGGTAGTCCTCGCGTAGGGCGAGCGTGTCTGGGGTCCGCTGGGCTGCTCCGAGACCTGCACGTAGGATTGTGCTGCGCCTTTGTCCCTAGGGTTCGGGCTGCCCGGCTCGCCAGATTGGACGGGCCTAAGCGAGCAGTCCCGCCCGGCACCCCTCTGTCTGTTGCGGGACAGGATGTGCTTCCGAGGGAAGCCATCGGAGGCACTGCCCCTGGGGAACCCACTGCTCTGCCCAAACCGGTTTCCTGACCCTGGAGGGGGGAGCTGAATAAGAGTCCATGGAGTAAAGTGAGAGTCTTGGGTAACTAAAAGTGGCTGACACAGGCCGCCGAGAAACTAGAGAGCAAATAGGTAGAAGTCGAGTCAGTTCAGGGACGGGATCTGGGTCTCTAGGAACGGCTATGGTACATGCCTCCCATCCCCCACTCCAGCCCATGAAGGTCACTGCCCCAGAGGGCTACCTGCCAAGCTGTGCAAGGATATGTCCCAAGAGAACAAAAGTATGTCTTCTCAGTCCAGAGGTTCTCCTGGTAGGTACCAGAGAGGCCCCATGCTGGTCCCAGAGCAGCTCTCCCTTTGCCCTAGGCCTTAAGTAGTTTACTGGAGGAACCCTCAATCCCTTCAAGAATGGGCAGATTCCATAATCCTGCTGAATCCCTACAGTTTATTGGAGACCAAAGTTTACTCGCACCCACAGCCATGTCCAGCCCAGAATCAGGCCCCAAAATGTGCCTCCGACTCTGTCCACCTTGGCTCTGGTCTAGGCAAGGCCCCCTCACATGGCCGGAGGAGGGGCAGTCCCAGGCTCTCTCTGTCCCATACCACATCAGGAGGAGGCCCCAGGTGTAGGTGGTGGTAGAGGGGGCGAGATGCAGTCAGGCACTAGCCTTGCCCTGTATCCCCTTACTCCCACTGCAGGTACTGAGCATGAAGAGCCCGACGGTAGGCCCAACTGCCCCCAGCCAAGGCCCAGCGGCAGACATCCTCTTTAGGCAGCAGCAGTTGATCGTCCTCCAGCCGGCTCAAGAGGCCAGCCACACCCAGCATCGCGCCGCCCCACATCCCATAAGTGTTGGCTGTGAAGACAGCAACAATGACGATGGTCACTGAGACCACCAGCACCACTGCCTGACCAGCCACCGATCGGCCCTCAGCGCCAAGGTGGTCCCCAGCCACTGCCAGCACCATGCCCCCTCCCAGGAGCAGGTTGGCAGAGGAGCGGTCCCCATTCACCCAGTGGAAATCAAAGGCCAGAAGGGGCAGGCTGATGACAGTGGCCACCCACGCTCCAGCGAGACCATCTTCATCTGTGCCCAGCCCTGGGGCCAGAATGGTGGCGGTGGCAGCCAGAGCCTGGAGCAAGAAGCCAGCAGCGGCTCCTCGACTTGCCTGTGAACACAGGGAAGGGAGGAGATGTGGAGAAGTGGCCCATGGCCACCCCTCTAAGCAGAAGGGTCTGGGGACTCATCGCCCTCCACCCCTCCCCAGTTGCAGGGAACTGGTCCTGAGGTTTTGGGGGGTACGGGGTGCCTGACCCTTCCCCATCTACTTACCTGGGCAGTGCACACAGCTGCATGCAGAGACACCACTCCAAGCACCAGGTGGGAGAGGACTGTCCCCCACTCTTGCCCAGATTTTGGGGTCATGGCAATAATGAGTTTGATGAGACTTCGGTAAGGGTATCCTCAACTTTGGAGAAAAAGAAAGCTCACAAGTCCAAGTTCTGGAGCCCCCTGTCTAAGTGTTGGACTAGGTGAAATCCTTAAGCTTCCAGGGCCCCGTGGCGACAGGGACACCGCAGTGGGGAGGACTCTAATTCGGCCTGGAACGAGTGAGGGAAGCGGCACGGGGTCTGAGCTGGGTGGGCGTGAACCCTGGGGTTCCGGAGACCACAGGGGAGGCAAGACGCGGGAGGCAGCGGGAGGCGGAAGGACGCGCCGACTTCGTCCCGGTGCCTGCGCGCCGGAAGGCCAGGCCGCGGCCCGTCCTCAGACCCGGGCCTCTGGGGCGTCGGTCGGCCTCGAGCAGTTTCAGACCCCGGGAAGCCGAGCCCGAGCCAGCTTGACAGGCAGGCTCCGCATTCCTGCTCCCGGCCTCAAGTGACTCGGGAGAGCGCGGTCACAGCACCGCCACCAACGAGAGGAGCGGAGGCTAGAGCGGTCGGGGGGAGGTGGGGGGGGCGGGTCCGAGCCGATTGGGAGTGTGGTACACAACTGGAACAGGGTCTTGTGTGGGTACGCGAGGCTCCCGGAGCGTAGGCTTTAGTACGCTGCAATGAACTGGTATTGGCTTACTATGCCAGAGATGACATATTGAAGAGGAACAACATCACATTGAATGTTAAGAGGAACACTTCAAAACATATACTGAAGTACAATGTTGTCAGTAATAGACTAATATCCATACATGTACATGCCGACAATTAACCCCAAAGATGAAGTTGAAGATTTGTTACCAACTTCTGGAGTTGATCAAATTTGCTATCAAGATACATTCATAATTCCTGGTGATTGAAATACGAAAGTTGGAAATGATTGGTATTTGGAAAATATGGCCTTGAATATTTTCCAATAGAAATGATGCCAGAGATTGCCTGATAGAATTTTCCAAGGCCAACTACCTAGTCATTGGAAAAACCTTTTAATCAGCAACATGATTGGCAAGTGCAAGTTGAAACTGAAGAAAATTAGAACAAATCCATGAAAGCAAAAATACCACCTTAAGTATACCCTACTTGAATTACTAAGTTAGTAGGATTTCATTGGATCCGGTGTGTGATTACTACTTAGGTAGAATAAATCATTCTTTTGCAGGATGTTTCCCTTCCCTTTTATTTATTTTAGTAACTGTAAATGAGTGAAGCTTCTTCCAAATTCGGTGATCTGAGTGTGCATAAATGTAATCTAGAACATCAGCAACTGCATTTATCATCGATTCTTCAATTTATGTTCAAATTTCCACAATGATCTTCAGATGTTTTAGTTAAACTGCCACTCTGAACATTAATTGTAAAAATTAAGTGTTAATTTAAAAGTAGTATGAAAGTTCCAGACTAACCAACACTGGGCCCATCTATAGTCAGGTTGAGGAGAGGGCTCCGTGGACAGCTATTGCTTCTGTCTCAACTTGGCCTCCTTTGGGCAAAGCAGCAATTTGGTAAGCAGCTCTCCCAGGAAACATTGTGTGTAGAGCTCATTGGCAGTAGCAAAGTCATTTATGTCAGCCAGCAACACACTTGTTTCTGCCACATTAGTGAAGCTACAGCCTGCAGCTTTCAGAATTTCACCCATGTAGTTAAGAGCTTGTTTAGGTGCTTCTACCACCCTTCTGGCACAAGCTGTCCTTTTGAAGGATCCATAGCTAATTGTCCCAAAATGTAGACGGTCCTATAGACTAACACAGCTTGACTGGAGGGACCAATGGCCTCTGGGGTTTCTCAGTGCTGATCACCTGATTAAGGACGACATGGCTAATCATTATGGCCATCAGTGAGTGGAAATAGCAAAGCCCTCACTATACCAGCCTAATTAACTTCTCACTGAACTCAGAGACTCTAGATCTTTAAAGGAGCAGATAGCCTCATCTTTCTCCTGAAAAGCAACTGATATTTTGAACCCAACTTTTCATTTAACAGTCCAATGCTTAACCCACTATGCCACCACAGCTCCTTAAACTACACTGAAGACATTGAAGAAAAGCAAGGCTCCAGGAATTGATGGACTACCAATATAGATAGGCAATAAACAAAAGCAGCACTGGAAGCACTCATTGGTCTAGGCCAAGGGATTTGGAAGACAGCTACCTGGCCAACCAACTGGAAGAGACAGATCCATATTTGTGCTCACTCCAAAGACAGGTAAGCCAACAAAATGCAGAAATTATTGGAATATATTAATATCACTTGCAAGTAACATTTTACTCAAGATAATTAATAAATGGTTGCACTGACTTCCAGCAAGATGGAAGACTCGGCAGACACACTACACAGACCCTGTACAATAAAGCTATGAGAGACCAAATAAAATGGACACAGATGAAAATTCTGGCACCCTGAAGTGGATTGCGTGCTGGGTTGTGAAGCTGAGCAGGAATGGAGAGAGAGGCGCCTGACTGGTGAACAGCTGGCCAGACTCTGCTCCATCATCTTGTCAACAGCTCTGGCAACACAACGAGGTTCAGCAGAACTGACTCACACAGGCTGACAAGCTCCCTGGTGACCAGAGGTGTGGCCAGCTCCCATCCTCATCCATCTCCAGTGTCTGGAGTCACATGGTTGGGAGCAGTGTGAGTTGGGGGCTGGCTGTGCCGCTTTGGTGCCTGGATTCAGGTGGGCTTGGCTCCAAACCTACAAAACTTACAGAGCCATAAGACCAGTATTTAACCAGTCACCCTGCCCCCAGCTTCCCTGTGGTCCTAGCTCCACCAAGGGCCCCCACTACTTCTGGATTGAGTGCCCTGAACATAGACAATACTGAGACCAATAGGAACTCCATCTAGGACCAGGAACTCTGCTGTCCCATCCCTTCCACACCCACCTTGTAAGGTCCTTGAATTGTAGAAGCCCCCAAGAGATTTCTCCCCTTTGGGTCCAACAACCGCACTATTGATTTTTTGAAATATGGCAACCCCACAATGCCCCAAAGACAGCAGACAATTTCAGCTCACATGAAGAAACAAGAGAGAACAGCTCAAACAAATGACCAAGATGCAGAGCCAGAAAACGTTCTCAAGAAGAAAACAGTTGGAACTAAGTGAAAAAGAATTCAAAAGAATGATATTTAGGTACCTTAAATGGACTGACAGAAAGATTGAAGAAAGCAAGGAGAACACAGAAAAAACTTTAGAAGAATTCAAGAAAACGCCATAAGAACAAATAGACAACATAAATGCAAATTTTGACAAAATCTTCAAATAGAAATACAGAAGATTAATACTAAGATTTCAGAAATGGACAAAGTAAGGGAAGAGGAGAAGATTTGAAGTCCTGGAAACCCAGATTAGTGAGCTTGAAGATAACTCTCTCAATACTAGCATGCTAGAAGAACAATCAGAAAAAAAGAAAGAAAAACTACAAGAATGCCTAAGAATTATGTGGGACACCATGAAGAAGAACGACTTATGGATGACTGGAATTCCAGAACAAGAAGAGACAATGAAAAGCACAGAGAAAATTGTCAAAGAGTTGTTGCAAGAACACTCCCCTAACATCACGAAAGCAAAGAAGATAAACATACAAGAAGCCGACAAACCCCAAACAAGATAGATCCCAAAGGAAAATCACCAAGACATATCATAATCAAACTTTCCAAAATCAAAGACAAGGAAAGAATCCTAAGAGCAGCTCAGGAAAAATGAAAAGTTAACTTCCAAAGGAGAGCCAATAAGACTAACTTCTGATTTCTCAGCAAAAAACATGCAGTCGAGAAGGCAATGGGGAGAACAAACAAGATGGCGGATCGGGTGGACGTATAGCAGAGAGCTCCGCCAACAACAACACAGAATACCCAACCAAGCAGGCTCAGGGGAAGGTCCCAGAACTCTGAACCACATATAAAGGAATACTTAGAAGG